AAAACCACCAAAAAGCAAGGGAATGCCGGCAGCCACCAGAGGAAGCTGAGAGAGGAAAGAAATAGATTCTCCCAGTGCAGCTAGAAGTTGGTATACTGTGAAAAACAGAAAAAGAGATTCACCCCTAGAGCCTCTGGAAGGAGTGTGACCCTGTGACACATTGATTCTGGACTTTTGACTCTAGAACTGTGAGAGAATACATTTCTGATGTTTTAAGCCACCAAGGTTGTGGGAATTTGTTATTGCAGCCAACAGAAAGAGAATATACTCACTCTGTGTCCCTGGACCACTCTAAACTGCAGTCTCTACATCTAAAACACAGGAACTTGGAGAGTTGTGGTGCCGATGAGAAAGATTATCTACGAGGTGCTTGGCATGGTTCCTGGAACTATGCAGGTGCTACCACAGGTGCAGTGGCGGTTCAGAGCAAAGGGGCTAGAGCCAGGCACCATGTCACCACTCCCAGCCAAGGCAGGAGATTTAGGATTGGTGGGAGGGCTGGATGAGATGATTCAAGTAAGGCTTAAAATAGTCTTGGTATGCAGCAAGCGCTTGATATATGCTACCTATTGTTTATTTTTATTACTGCCACCATCACTGCTGTATTAGCCTGCTCAGTCTGCTGTAACCAAATACCACAGATGGGATGGTTAAAGCAACAGAAATTTATTTTCTTGCAGTTCAGGAGATACAAGTTCAAGATCAAGGCGTCAGCAAGGTTGGTTTCTCCTGAGGCCTCTCTCCTTGGCTTGCAGATGGCCACCTTCTCCCTGTGTCCTCACGTGGCCTTTCCTCTGTGTATATGCATCCCCTGGTGTCTCTTTGTGTGTCCAAATCTTCTCTTCTTATGAGGACGCCAGTCAGATTGGATTAGGGCCCACCCTAACAAGCTCATTTTAACTCAGTCACCTCTGTAAAGGCCCTATCTCCAAACACAGTCACATTCGAAGGTACTAGGGGCTAGGTCTCAACATATGAATTTGGGGGGGACACACTTCAGCTACAACCACCACCATCATCATTGTCACCACCACAAAACCTTCTTTGCCTAAAGTCTCTGAGTTACAGAAACCACAGCGTCTCAGCAGATATTCCCTCGTGAAGGACCGATGAGGTTACTAACATTTAGAAAAATGTGCTTCTAAGATGGTTTAGGGGGTTAAGTTTTGGGTGCTGGAAGCGTTCACTTCAGTAATCTGGAGAGCCGGGGTCCTGTGTCCATGAAGCGTGAGGCAGTTAGAGGGTTACTGGGTGCTGCCACTGGCCTTGCTCTCCCGGGCTCACTGCACAGGGGTCTCTTTGGAATCCTCTGCACTCACGATCCAGAATGTGTTTCTTGGAGAAAAAGAATGTGGTTTCTTGCCTTCTCCTCCCAGCTTCCAGGGCCAGGGTACGGGGAGGGGGCGCAGCTTTCGTGCCGGGCCAGTAGGCAGAAGAAGGTGGTACACTCAGTGGAAAATGC